GGGGGTTTTTTTTTTTTTTTTTTTTTTAAAGCATGAGCAGGTGCATGCTGGCTGCTATCCATTTGAGCTGTTCCATTTTTCTACAGTTAAGATTTTTGCTTTGTTAATTAAAAAACACTTCAACAGGGTTAGCTGCATGTTTTAACTGGCTCCTATTTTGAAATCTGTTAATGTTTTCATTAGGTTTTATAGGTATTGGATTGGGGTCTGAAATAGCTGCTTTGAATTTGAAAATGTGCAAATTAGCTTTCAAATGCCTATTAGAATCAACTTCCATAATTGGTTTTAATAAACATGGTAGAGACTAGGGGTGTGCAAAACTGGCTGTACTTAATTTGGATTTGGATTTGGCCTGAATTGGGGACAGTGATTCGATTAGTTGATTCGGATCACTGTCTCTGATTCAATTTGGTCAAATTCAGATTTGATGCTGATTTGGAGAATCAGTGGTTCGGCCATAGGCACAGCTTTAAAAGTTTTTCTACGTACCGCGATGTACCAGCGTGGCTTGTGAATGCTGTGATGTTGGGGCAGATGGAGCATCCCACAGGAACACGGGGTGGGGGGAGCCTGCGTGCTCAGTGGTGAACCTGGAGGTGGACTGGAAGTACTTGTGGTCCACTTTGGAGTCTGCTGCCGAGCACACAGGGGGGCTCCCTTATGCCCCCTGGCCCGGCAGTTGGCTGCGGGGGAACACTGAGTGCCCCCCAGGCCCAGGAGGTGCCAGTTGCTGAGCTGGGGTAGTGTGGGGGGGATGGGGATCCTTCAGCGTGCTCCCCGGCAGACTTGGAAGTGGACTGAAAGTGCTTCTGGTCTACTTCTGGGTCTGCTGCCAAGTACGCTGGGGAGCTTCCCACATTCCTGGGGACGCTCTATCCGCCTCACCATCGCAGCATTCACTAGCTGCCTGGTACCTTGAGATATGTAGAAAAAACATTTAAAGCTGTGTCTATATCTGAATCGCTGAATCTTTCAGAATCTCTCCAAATTGATTCAGAGGGTTCCGATTTGATTCAGAGAAATTAAAGTGTCTCCTGTCTTGATTCTGATTCAGCCACTGAATCGGGCCGAATCTCTGCTGAATTGAATCAGGGACCGAAGCTTTGCACAGCCCAGTAGAGATCCAAATGACATCCTGAAAGATGGCAGCATTACCCCAAACTATAACCTTTGGATATGAACTTTAGTGAGTGAATAGAAGAGATGCCTTCCCTTTTTCTCTAATACAGATCACATTTGTTACGTTTCTACATCTTCCGGGAATGGACCACTACACTATTTTGTTAAAAGTGAGCTATTTATCAGTTATATGATGACTGGTCAATCTCCATGGGAGTTAAGAAGGGCAATTGCTACTCTCTGTAGACCTTGTGACCTCATTATTTGGGTATTGCTGATGTCAAAGAGGCTAGCTCCCATTATGCTTTGCCTTGGTATGTACCATGCTGTGATATTGCAGCTTTTGCAGAACCCTGCTTAAAGCATGGCCCTTCTCTGAAGGGATAGGTACAGACATTCAAAAAGCCTGAGGTGGAATGGATTTAAGTTAAGTGGTTTCTGTAAGCAGCCTAGTTTAGATCAGTAGTGAAAAGAACACAGGTTTGCTCTTTGTGAGGTGGGGAGGGAAGGGGACAAATCTGAGACCAGGTTCTGCCATTTTTAAACCAGTCTGTGTGTGTAGAACTTCTGTTCTGTTATGGGTATAGACCTATTTCCGATCACTTATACAGGTATAAATTTAATGTCTGCATCTGGCCTAGAACAGTGGTTCTCAACCTTTTTTGTACCAGGACCCATTTGTAAACATCGATGGCCAATCCCAATCCAGTAAATAGTTTAAGTAGAAAACCCACAAGTATTTTGGCCTCAAAATATTTATTATAGACTACAAGTTAAAGCTGCTCAACAGTCTGAAATCAACATCAACAGG